ATACATTTCCTTCAAATAAAGTATTGTGTGTGATTTAAAATATCTTAAATTTTTTGTTATTTTTATTTAATTGTATAGTGATTATGTGCAGACAGTTTAAAACAACTTTACCAAATGCTCATGATAGTTAACTTCTGCTTGGAACAGGTGCTCACGTTCATGCATAAACATTTTGTTAAAATTATATGACTTGGCATTTGTTCCAGAGGTTTATAGGGTACTTCTTAATTAAAGTCTCCAGCCAAACCAATACACAGTGGAGTATTAGGGGGTGGACAACTCTTGTATAGGGCCAACAAAGGCATTGTACGGTCTGGTGCTTGGTGGATTCCAAGTGTTCTGAGTCGGATCTGTGCTAGAGCTGGGCATTCGCAGAGAAAGTGGAAGATTGTTTCCTTGTTCTCTGCTACTCCGCAGCCTCGGCAGATGTCGTTGTAGGGCATACCCTTTTGGATGCATATTCCCCAAATGGCCAGTGCCCTGTTGTAGCTGTTACTCTGTAGATATTTTTTCTTGACCTATTTAATAAGTCGTTGGTTCTTTTCCTGTCATATATTGTTTTCGACCTGTTATTTGCAACTTGTTGAAATTGTCTATTGATTTGTCCTTTGATCGATCCTAGACTGAGATGGTATCCTCTCCTATTAAGAATGGGGGAGAGATTATCGTCTAAATGGTATCCTCACCTGGAAGTGTCTATTGAAATCCAGCTTTGGGAGAATGTAGTCTGATTTATTAATGGTGAGCTTGTTTAGGATTACACTATGTCTGTAGTTCTGCTGATTCCCACCACCCAATTCTTTTATTCTTATCGCCGCAATAGCTCCTGTTTTGTGAATAAAAGTGTCCATTGGTAGTTGATACAGGATCACATGGAGCGTATCAGTCGTGCATGACCTGATTGCACCAGTAACACCCGCACATGCTGCTCTTTATATTCCATTTAATTTTTTAATGTTGTATTGTTTGTTTAGTGCTGGTCACCATATCAGAGCTCCATATGTAAGTATAGGTCTTATGACAGCCGCATATATCCACATGATTATACTTGGGTTTGGGTTTCAATTCTTCTTGACGATTCTCTTACAAGTATAGTAGTAGTTGTTTATTATTTTTTCTATATTTATTTGCCAGGCCATTTTGGTGTCAATCTCCACCCCCAGGTATTTAGCTGTGGGGGATAGAGTGAGCGTTGTACCGTTTAGTACCGGAAGTTGAAACTGAGGTATTTTGGTTCTGCTTATGAATAGCTTCAGTTCTGTTTTGTTCGGGTTAACTCCTTGTCCATTGGTTTTAGCCCATAGGTTTAACCTTCGAAGTGCACCTTCCATAATCTCGCTGACTGTTGAAGGGAAAATGCCTGATACCAACAACACTATGTCGTCTGCATAGGATGCTGCTTTCACTCCTCCACCGTTTGGTTGGAGTAGTATTTCGTTCAGCGCTACAACCCATAGAAGCGGAGAGAGCACCCCTCCTTAAGGCGTCCCTCTACTCACGTAACTTGTTTGCATTGCAGCGCCGTTTGAAGCTATAATCTTCCCATTCTCAAGCATCGATAGAATCCATTTGCACAAAGTGTCAGAGAATTAATTACAGCGTTTACTTCTATGTTTTTGAAAGAGCCCTCTATGTCTAGAAAAGCAGCCATGTTGTATTGTTTGTGGTGTAGTGATTTTTCAATTACACTTATCACCTCGTGAAGGGCAGTTTCGGTTGATCGGCCCTGTATGTACCCAAGTTGGGACTTCCCCAACCTTTCTAAAATCCTTAGCATTTTCTTGTGTTCTTATGCCTGGTTTTGGAAGGAAGACAACGTTACTTCTTTTCCAACTTCTTGGGATGTAAGATAGTTGTATGCTAGCTTTGTATATATTTTCAAGCCTTTGAACCATTGGTTCTACCAGTTTTTTCAGCAATATGGGCATAGTCCCGTTAGGACCCGCCATGGTGCCAAACTATTTAAGGCATATTTGATTTTGCTTTTGTCTACTATTCGGCTTCGATAATCAGCTGCGTTCAACGGTGGTTCTGGTTGAACCCTCATTGAAGGTGTTTGCTGACTCCCGGGGAAGTGCGTTGTAATTAGTACCTCCAGAGACTCTTTTGCCGGAGGTCCAATCACTTCCCTCCACCCTAATGTAGGCAGTATTAATAAGATCTTTGGATAGCATTTTGCTCTGCATAGCGGTTTCTCTGCAACTTTTTATCGATGTGCAGAAAGATCGCCACGAGTCGGTTTTAGCTTTCCTGACCGCTTTTTTTTATATCTTTTCATAATATCTATATATGGCTGCCAGATTTGATTTTGAAAGCTTTCCTTAGTTGTGTTCTCAAATTCTTGAGTTCACTGTTCTACCAAGGAAGAGACTTTCTCTTTTTCAAAACTGTTAGCGGAGTGGATTTATTGAAAGTTGTGGTTAAGATTTTCTTCACCTTCTCTACTTCTGAATCTAGTTCCTGAGGATTTCTAATACTCTTATTGCATCCCTTTTCAAGGCATTTTGTTGGTATACTGGTAAAGTTTTCCCACGCTGTTTTTTGGATTCCGATATGTCAGAGGAGCGGATGCTGAAGAGTATCCAGAAGTGATCCGACATGGAAGGCTCATCGGATACCCTCCAGTGATGCACAACGAGACTGTCTGTGTCTGTTGATAGCGTGAGGTCCAGCACTTCCTCTCACCCCGGAAACCTATCAGAGCTTGCGAAAATAAAGGTTTGCCTATCGCATTTCTACTTCTAATGATAAGAATGCATGCTCTAGGTTTAACGAATTCCGAAAAAATTCCGGAATCGATTCACCCTAATATGCACCCTGCGACAAACTCTTAAATGCATCATTTTGTGTAAGCTTCTTGTCTAAATCAGTATCAGATTTTTATCAGTATTTGGTGTCAATGTACAATGTGTAAATTACATTCTTTACTGAGTCCACACATATTGGCAAATTTTTCTTACAGGACATATATAGGTAAAAAGTTATATGTAACCAGATTAGTCCAGATGTGTATAAGAGACAGGGACAGAGACGAGTAGGTCCTTGTGGCATTTACTACAGTGGCCATATAAAGGAGCGCAAGTTTGGTGTGGGATTCGTGGTGGGAGAGAGACGCCGTCGCCGAGTACTGCCATTCACCCCTGTGAATGAACGTGTAGCCACAATCAGCATCAGAGCGAAGTACTTCAACGTATCGTTGATCTGCGCCCACGCACCGACGGAACTTCCGTGAGCACTTGAA